AGGCCTTGATGAATACTGTTTAAAAATAAAACAAAACTGAAAATCGAAAAACAAAATTATGGTTTAACATGGTAGAGTGTTACTTCGTGGTGTCAGTGACGAAACGTGCATAAATTATACAGAATCCCAAAATTGCTCACTTTCACACGATGTGAATGAATGTAAACAAACCCTAAGTTCATTGAAGAAAATGTAGTGATGTCACATATATGAATATTCATTAGCCAGTCACTAACTTGCAAGACTAAATCGTTCAGAAAAGTCATCACAACTTTCCTAACTTCCACAGTTGCTTCAAACCAGACAACTTTACATCTACAGAAGCTAGATAAATATTTATCTCAACCTTCTACAAATATGAATAACTTTTTAGAAGTCTCAGTCTTCCAGAAATATTGTTTAGAACTTTAAGCCAATCACAAAAGGTTTAACCGCCGCTCAAATGGCACCCATGTTGGATTTTACCACCACGTTTTTTATAGCACAGTTGACATGCGTAAAAAAAAACACGTGAGTGCACACACACAATTTCGGCAGGAAAATGCTTGAAATAACTTGGCAATAAGGCCTAAAAGACAAAAGGAATTTATTAGACGAAAATGTCGTGTCTTTAGAAGAATAAATGTAAGTTTTACAGCGATAAAAAGTTCAGAAATGTGAGATTAAGGGGCATTTTCGTCACACAGCGTCTCCTTAAGCGTTTGCTGTCGCTAGCAAATTTAAATTTTTGGGCAATGCTAAGATTACATGGAAAATTGAAATCTCTAGAATACAGTAGTACTTCAACTAGTACATTCTAGTATTCAAGGTACTTCGGCTAACTTCGTTAACCTACAGGCTTGACCACTGCTATTCATACTTACCCTGTTAATGGCATTTTTATCTAAGAATTTAGCTATTACAAACTTCTGCTTAATTTCCTGCGGCTCATCCTCGTCAGTCATGTCATCGGAGGATGCCAGGCCGGAGGTAGAACTCTCATGGCTCTGAAAGATTTCTCTTAAATCTTTTGGCTTTCCCCGTGTTGAGGGCCGTCTACGTCTAGGAGGGGATGACTCCAGTTTCTCAAGGGTCTCCTCTACATCGGAGGCATCACTGAAATGGTGGCCCCCATTGCCTGCTCCTCCGTGGGAGTTACCACATCGATGGCTGTGTCCTCGATTATTGCAGGGGGGGGGGGGCTGGCTCATTGGGGTGCTGACCGGCTACTGGGGTGTTGGCAGCAGGCAGGGTGCAGGATGGTGTTGGGGCATGGTGGTTGCTGTCAATCTTCTCCACCAAGGAGTTGACGGATCCCGCTTCACGGGCTCTGCTAGGGTGGGCCGTCTGGTAATGCCGCCGGAGGTGGTATCGTTGCTAATACCACTGAGGGAACTGGCAACATTTAGATTTCTCCCGGTAGGTCAGGTGGGTGGTGATGCGAGTCTATTGAAATTTGAGCGTTGCCAAAACTTCAGACCACATGTCTCACAGCGGACAATACTCCTGTTCTCAATTACCTCCTAAAGATCTGCAAGATCCATTTTTCTGATTGAATAAAAAAAAACACCAACAATTTTGTTTAGTTTTCACATGCTAATATTACATGTCAAATTCCCCATATCGCATTGGTTTCTTTCTTTCTTTGGGTTTCTCCTCTTAAGTTCCACTGATTTTCCTTTGTTTCTTTTAGTGTTTGCTCTAACAGGTGGCCCTTGATATGGCTTAAGTCTGTCTGCATGGATAACAACAAACTTGCCATGTCTTCCCTTGCGAATAGTAAAACACTACGTCAGTGAGCGGAGCTACCACCTTGTATGGTCCTTCCCAAGGGAGGACTAATTTGGGGCTTTTCCTTTCTTTCCCTATGGATTTTGGAGCCATACATATGACCCTACAGTAATCCTACCATCCTTGGTTGTCCTATTATAATTCTTCTTCTGATGCTCTGCAGCCTGTCTCAACCATGTCCTTGCCCTATAGTGGGCTATACCCAAACGGTCTTGTAATTCCTCAGCATAATTACTACCCTCAGGAGTGATTTCTTCCTCTGGCGAATCTAATGGTAATTCTACATTCCGTGTCCGACTCCTGCACTGAACTACGATAAGCTAACATTGCACAAGGCAATCCGTTTTTTCTATAAGGTTCTACACTGTTAAAAAAAATCTCTGTTCATTAACAGTGCATTCTATTTTACATAATTGTAAAATATACAATTCTGGAGCAAGGTATCGTCTAAACCTTTCCACTTATCTTGCGAAGCAAAGACCAGGTATCGTTTAAACCTGTCTTCCTTCAAGAAAAATTTACTAAGGCCCAAGGCCTTTCTCAAAATACTAAATAGGCCTCAGGCCTTTCTCAAAATACGCCCGGGAAAAAATAAATGTCAGCTTAATTCCAACAAAATCACCACTCAAAAACTCAGAAGTTCTTTAAAATAACTTAATAAAAAATTACTTTGACTCTACTGTCTGCGTCTAACTCAATGCGGCTCCCCAGTACACAGTCAATGCACCAGTAGCTCCCCAGCGCACAGTCAATGTAGGGCTCTAAGAAATATATAGATTAGCCTTGCTCCACAATACACAAATGAATGAGGCAGCAATGCAGATCAATCCTAAATTCTCTTTATCCTGGCTCCTTAAAACACAAGGGATGCAAAGCTCCCCAGTGCACAAGTCAATAATGCGGTGGACCGGATAAATCTGAAGTATTTTATCCTTGCTCCCCACTACACAAATGATGATGCAGTGGTCCAGATAAATCTAGTAAATTATTTATCCTGGCTCTACACTACATAAGTGATGAAGTCAATCAATTTGGCTTGGCTCCCTAGTATTTGGTTCACTTACATCAAATAGCTCAGACTAGCTAGCTCCCCAAAGCACAATTAATTGCGTCGGAATTCAGCAGCACAATATATTTGCAACACCAACATCAACCAAATTCAAAACCAAATAACTTAATTAGCAACAATTCTGCCCTTTTTGTACCCTACGGGCTACGCGCCCAGCGCGAAGTCAAAAGTACGCGCTAGTAAATAGGCAACGCCCATATTTGTAAAAAGTTACAGTAAAATAATTCAAAAAGCGATAACTTCTCATAAATTTCTCCAAAATTATACAGCAACATATCACACAAAATTGCTGAAATCAATCTTAAAGACATTCCTTACAGTAAATCTGCTCTAAAAATGTGAACAAATTATACATTATCCCCAACATGCTCACTTCACACGGTGTGAATGAATGTAAACAAACCCCAAGTTTATTGAAGAAAATGCAGTGATGTCAAACATATATCGAAAATCTTGCCGTCTCCTGGACCTGGCGCACTGTTATTCCGAAGTCAAGGTGATGAAGAAAATCACCCATTGTCTTTCTTGCCGTGTTATCAGTGCGAGCTTGCTGTCTCATCCATGAAACTTCTGCGCCGGATGCAGACTTGGGGACGCCTTCCCCCGCATGGTTAAAGAGGCGGCGATCAGTGCTCGAGCTCTCTTGAGAACTTAGGGGTGGGAACGGGGGTTTCTCCGGCCGTGCTGGGGATCCTCTTCATTTGCGTGGTCGTCTTCGGTGGTACCTTCGGGGACGGGGCCTGCGCCTGCTTCCGATGCGGGGACGGGTGAAGCTAATGATCGAAGCCGATTGTAGAGGCGGCTGCGTGTTGGCTGGGACTGGTGAAGTCCATCTCGGTCACTACAATAATCCATTCCTCCATGGACTTGGACGGGCTAAGTGGAGTTGGAGGGGGCCGAAAATCTTCCATTGCTGGCGAAGTAGCCATCGGCGGGCTCACCTTTGGTGTGTTCAGTGTCTCGAGCAGCTGGTCCACTTCTGTAATTTCCAACTACTTCGCCAAAATCTTGGGTGTCACTGGTCGCATCGCTATTGGGGATGGGTGAAGTTTAAGCATCACCCGCTACTGCATAATTATGCTCGACATGCTCGACTGTTTTTTTCTCTCTTTTCTCCTCGTTGTGGGGTGTCTTTGGACAACACAGTGCACTTGTTGCAACGTTGCTCCGTCGGCCTCTAATTCGTTTGTCACGAATCGTCTACAGTAGGAACACAGGCCAAGAAAATTCTTAACTTCAGTTACATTCCTCGGTGTCCGCCATTTTCGAACCGCGTCTATTTTCGTCTTGTCAGTGGCGATTCCTTGAAGAAACTTTATGACCCAAAAATTGACACTTTTCGCTGAAGAAACAACACTCCTTGGGGCTCAGCTTCAGCCCAGCTGTCGTTAATCGAACCAGCACTTCTACTAATCTTTCGAGCGCCTGCTTGAAACTTCCGGTACAATGTTTCTAGCCTGTTCACTGCTTACTAAGCAGTGAACAGGCTAGAAACATTGTGAAATCTCCGCTATTTAGCGGATTTCCGCTTTTTTGTTCAGCGTGCCACATTTTGTTTTCCGCTTTTTTTCTTCCGATGGTCCAGATTTTCCTCCGCTTTTCCCCCCGCGCGTAAGCATTGATTTTATTTCCGTTTATTTTATTTTCCGCCGCCGACGCGTCGCCGAACGCACGCGATCAGCTCTCTATCACGTAGCTCTGTGGTGCGTGCAAGCGAGTATTCAATGTACATGTACAATGTACAGTACACGTACGTGTGTACTTTACTATGCGATGTGCACGCATTTTTCAGCTCGAAGCCGCCGGTACTAAGCCGCGTGTGTACAATGTATTGTACACAACATGTAAACAGCATCCGGGGAACCAACAGTCATTGCGCTGTGATTGGCTGCAGATAAATATGAATATTCACACATGCGCCATGAAGCACGTTGGGACTCTTTGCGGCCGTTCAGGTGTCTATGCATGTAGTGACACGCAATGATCTCCACAATAACTCGCTGTAAACTTCGTCTTGTTGCAAATATAAAGCCTTGAAATAAGACTAGTAACTTGTCGCCGTGCCGGTAGAGGGCACCATGCGGGGCAAAGTTCATGTGTGCATTTCATTGCATGCATGCATCCTGCATGCTGATACATGTACATACGTTAGTGTGTCGTTTCGGATGATTCGAACGTGTTTTGACGACATTAATTCCGCAAGATGTCGGTGCAACACAAATGTGTTATTATCCAAAGAGGTTCGGAGTTTGACACGGACATCGACAAGACCGATCCTCAGGTTACGAATCCGTGGAAATGGATTTGGATGGAACACGTGGTAAATGGGCAGAAATTAGGCGACTCGATTAGAAAAATCCAGAAGCCAGGACACGCGATGTGTATCATCTGCAGTAAGGAGTTAAAATATGGAAAACGTGGTCGATTTTCCCTCGTACAGCATGTGCAAAACCCTTCCCATCTATCCATCGTGAACATGAGGAAGAGCAACACTGTACTTCCAGGTAACATACATGTACATTGTACTTGTAGGCCTATGTGTATAAACCAGAATCTTCATGATTTATTTGACATTTAAAACACCAGTTCTCAGTAGGCCCCTACACATAATTTACATGCTTTTAGACATGCTGCAGGACTTTTTAGTCAGGGGTGAGATTTGTCAGATTTTTCATGATTTCATGATTATTAACCTTTACAAGTCTGTAAAACAATATGATTGGGTATTTTAAGGGGTGTCTTTAGGCAAATACAAATATATCCCATACTCCCATAGACAATGATAGGGGAAAAAATGTTGCAACCTGACGCCACTTCAGCGGTTGTGTACAACAAAGTCTATGTTGTGGATCTTTCATTTTTCCCCAACCTCACCCCTGAATTTAGTTAGTGCAGGTGCATGGAGTTTCAATTGGTCTGAAGCCATTTTCAACTAATATTTTTTTCCATCCTGAACTTATGTTAGCCATTTGTTATTTGTTGCTCATTTTTTGGTCCTTTTATTTATTAATTATTACAGGTCAGAAACAGCCAGAATCAAGCACAGACACTACTTATGGCATTCATCCAATGTTAAAAAAGGCAGCAGAAAATCCCAAAAGTAGCATACCTGAACCACGAGTGTCACTGATAGACAGAGTATCCACTGCAGAAGCAACTGTCCTAGCCTTTGCTGCTGAGAAATCATTGCCGTATGCAGTTGTTCCTGATCTCGTTTCCCTAAGTAAGTCTCTGGCCAAGGATAAGCAGGCTTTAGATGGAATCTCAATGGACCGTACGTCAGCCTCATATAAAATGACTTACGGACTGGGCAAAACCTTCCAAGAAGAATGTGTTGAAGATCTACAGACTTCATTCTTTTCCTTGAACATCGATGAATGCACAAGTGAAACAAACCTTCGCGTTGTGTCGGTATTAGTTTGTTACTATTCCGATAAAGATCAGAAAGTTGTAATCAAACACCTGTCGTCATTTGCAGTAACAAAGGTTGACAGCAAGACTCTGTATCAAGAACTTGTGAGATTGTTTGAAGAACTAAGACTGCCTTGGAAGAACCTGGTTTCCATACTGATGGATAGTTGTAATGTGATGCGTGGATCCAAAGGGGGACTAGAAACATTGATCAGAAAGAAAAAACATGCTCGATGTGGATGGTGACTCATGTCACCATGCACACAATGCCGCAAAATATTTCTGTGCGCCATTCGAGAAATATGTGGAAGGATTGTTGACAAGTTTGTTCAATGACTTTAAATGGTCTGCGTATAAGAAGGAAGTGCTAACTATGGTATGTGACACACTTGGTATCAAAGGTACATCACCTGAAAACTATGTGAGCCATAGATGGTTATCAGTATATGACGTAAGTGTGGATACAGTACGTATGTGGGATGCATACATTGTCTTTTACTCCGCATTCCTATCCGACGATGACCGTGTCACCTACCACTCATGTGTTCTTGACATATACAAGAAGTACAATGTTGGCAAGAAGAATCAACAAGCAATAAAAGAACTGCAAAACCAAATGCGACCAAAGATGAAGACAATGACCAAAGAGGGTGTGGAAAGAACAAACAGAATTGTGCAAAAGTTGTTCTTCACAGCTCCAAAAACCAAAGTCCTACTGCATGTATTTATTTCAGTACTTCCACTTCTGAAGAAATACGTGATGCTGTTCCAAATGGAGACAAGTCTGGTGCACCTTCTGAATGACAAACAGACCGAACTGTTGAAGAATTTCTTGTGTTGTTTCATCAGACCAGAGAAGCTCCGTGAAATCACACCAAGAGGATTAGTTCAGCTTCAGGTAGATGACAAGACAAACCGCCTCCCAGATAATGCAATATTTCTGGTGAAGCACATTCAGAGTAATCTGCCAAAGACAATGGCCCAGGAAGTGACCAGGACACTTGTAAATGCCTATGTCAAATGTGCTGAATGTCTGCAAAGAAAAATGCCAGTGAACAACCAGCTGTTAAGGAGCATTTCAGCCATTGATCCAATCTGCAGGGGGCACACCACCACACTGAGATACCTCCTTAGGTTACCCCAGTTGGTCTCTAATGTATTTACGGACGATTGTAGCAAGGAACAATTTGATATTGAAGCACGTCAATATCAATTAGGAAGTACCCCTAAGTCAACAGAAGGAAACATGGACATTGTCAGTTTCTGGAGCGGATGTGCCAGCACATACCCAAACCTGACCAAAATGGTGTTTGCCCTGCTAAGCTGCTTCCATGGCCCAGCTGTTGAGTCATCCTTCAGCATCACGAAGGATGTCTTGAACAAGAAGAAGTCAAGCTTAGGCGGGCGGGCTAAATACCCCCTGTTCATTTACCGTGGGACGGTATTGTTATTGAGGAAATGTGGGACCCTTCAAGCCAAAGCGGGAGACGGTCCACGCATGAACGCACACGGTACAGCCGTGCATGGTGACGGTTTGCAGTGGGGCTTGTATGTTTAGGGCAGACAAAAGATCAGAGGATTAGCAATGTACCAGGTCTTTGCGGTCGGTGAGTAGAAGCCGCCGATGATGGGTATGAAACCGCAGCCGGGAGTGCCAACCGTGGGACGGTTTGTAGAAACAGGTCACCCGCTTTCTTTTCAAGCGGGAGCCGATAAAAGAGGGGCTCAATTGAAAGCGGCTCCCGGTAAGTGAACAGGGGGTATTTAGCCTGTCCGCCTTACAAGTCGGCAGCTTCTCCGCAATCCAGACTGTCAAGTACGAGCTAATGTCAAACAACAAGACAGCCTTGCAGTACTTTGACAGGGCAGACCCATCCTACACTCCTGTAAATACCACCTTGTGCAAAAATATGCTGACTGCATACCGCACGTATGCAGATCACAAAGATAGTGCAAGGAAGAAAGAAGAAGAAAAGAAGAACAAGATGGGTTTCGAGAAACCGGTCAAGACAGTCACAGTGTCATCAAAAACCCAAACTAAACTTGAACAATTCAAAAGGGCACAAGAGGATCTTGAAGAACACCGTGTAAAAAAACAGAAAAGGGCCTTATAAGGTAAGGAGAGTCCCTTGTGAGGTTTGCAACGGCCAGACAGCATGAAAGAGCTAGATTTAAAGGAAGTTTATTTTTTGCAGGGCGGGGCTTTGGCAGACTCGCACTCCAAACCTCAATTTCAACACAATTTCCATATACAAGTTGGCCATTTAGGCAGTTTCAAGCCAATCTGAATAAAAAGTTAATTTAAAAACATGCATAAATTGCAAATATTTTTGACCAATAGTTGGCCCAGGAGGCTGTAAAATGCACCACAGAGCATCTACATTTCAAAATTTTCCCGGGGCCCTTGGGCGGGCCCCGGACCCCACGCCGTAAGGGCTTCGCGCTCGCAGGTTCAGTTATTTACAGGTTCAGCTATTTTCAGCTATTTTTTTTAAACTCCACTCACACCCCTTGGTTTGGACAACCGCTGTATGCATCTTCTCATTATTTTCTTTGGTCGAGACTACTTTTTTAATCGGCTCGCATGTTGTTGCTTTGTTCGTTCCCTTATACAATCTTGAAGGCTGATCACTCCAATTAAGAAGACGCACTGGAACTTGTTCTGAACTTGCTTCAATTAGAACCTTGGCATGAGGTTAACTTCTCAGTCAGCTCCATCACAGCAAAGCCAATGTTATTTGGATTCACCACTCGACCTGGTACTAAAACGTCTGCCATCAGCGGGGAGCCGTATCATAAGTCCGAAGCCTCATAAGTCCGAAACTTCGGACTTATGAGGCGTCGGACTTATGAAGCATAAAATTTATTTATGCCGCCTCATAGGTCCGACGCCTCATAAGTCCGAAAAATTAAACGCCTTGTTTTTTCCGTTGTCGGACTTATAAGGCGTCGAATTTATGAATCGTCGGACCTTTGTGGCGTCGGATTTTGGGCCTTTATTTGGTTAGGGAATGCAATTTTGTCGGACTTATGAGGCGTCGGACCTATGAGGCGTCGGACTTACGAGCGGACCCCATCAGCGGTATAGACAAATTCATATCGGCAATAACTCTGACACATGACGGTTTTGGACTCCCTGTTACCTTACAGATTCATCTCCGAATTTCATCACACCTTTCCCAACATCAAGCTCGCAGTTGTACTGGTGAAGAAAGTCATACCCAAAGATACCTTCAAGTTTGATATCAGCAATCCACTCAATGTGATGTGCTTCCTTGCAAACATCTCCACCAATGTTTATCTTGAAAATTCCTTGCCCCTTGAAAGAAAGTGGTTTTCCGTCTACCATCACCATCTCAAACTTCTTTTTCTCCAGCGGCGGCCGTTTACTCTCAGGTGTCTTGTAGTAGATATCAGGCCGTACAATGGTTACATTTGCCCCGTATCAACTAGAAAAGTCACGTTTATGTCTTCAACACACCCTCTCACCTATAGCCCATCTGCACCTGTTTCAACTGTCAACTGTCATGGTTGGACCCTGGTTGCTTAGCCGAACATGGGCCCGGTTGTTCGACTGCTGTCCGTTTCCCTGCTGATACTGCTGTCTGCCGTCATAACGATTCGAATAGCTTGGTTGCCTCGCCCTTCGCTCCGGTCTCGGACAATCACGTCTAACGTGGCCCAACTCGTTGCAATTCCAACACTCATAGTTGAGATTTCACCAGGTGAATTTGAATTCCTCCTATCATTACCAACGTTCAGCTGTTTCTACACATTTTTGAATCCTTCCACCAGTGCTCTTTCAATACTTGTTGTCAATGACGTCAACTGTTCCTGCAAACTTTGCTTTTCCCTTTTGGGACTTCTGTGACCTTGTCTTTCGACATCTGCATTTATGATTCTTCGCGAAGGTTTCTCGGCCATGTATGTTGCCTATCTGCAGCCTGGAATGCCTCCAATTCCACGTCTTCAAGACTTGAGGGTCGTGACTGAAATACTCGCCATCTTATAAATTAGCGTCAATCAACGCATCAATGAAGTGTTACTTTGTCAATGTCTCTTGCCGTTCATAATTTGCGATAGAATACGCCCGTCTCGTCAAATGTCTGATTGCTTGGGCCAATTCTGGTAGTGTTTCGTTTCGTCCTCTGATTCTATTCTTTAGCTGAACTCTAAATAAATTCAGTCTGATTTTCTGGGCCGAGTGTCCGTCCTAAAGCAGCGGTTAAAGGACGGTAACAACGTCTTCGTTCGCCTTCCAAATCGCCTAGTACGGATTGTGCTGGTCCTCGCAAACTCGCAGCAAGGTAGGTTGCCTTTGCTGATCTTCCCCAGCCATTCAACTCCGCTAGTAGTTCAAACTGAAATGTTTCTTCATCACCTCCAGTTGTCTTCTTTAATTATCGTTTTCCCGCCTCATTCTCGCTACTTCTTCCTGTTCGTCATCCAAGTTAATCAACAATAAGGTTGATGTATAGCCTCCTACCTTCATCGGTGATTCTGTAATGGATTCTCCTTGGTCCGTACTAAGGCTCGCCTCATCACTTTTCGGTAATCCCTCTTGAATGGGTTCAAATTTGATCTCGGGGTCTGAAATTTTCATTGTTCCTCTTTCTCTTCGTAGCGTAGTCTCCACAGAGATATCCCACCGCTGCCACCAAAATGTTAAGGGGGAATCCGGGGTTCGATCTAACCAGGGGTACAGTGAATCTTTAAAAACCCGTCGAGATTAATTAGGAGATACCGGAGATGTTTGCCGAGCTAGTGCTTGACCGGGACCAGTGTTGAGGGTGCTGTCATAGAAAAGGGAAGGCTGGGTTGGGGAAGGCAATATAATTTGAGTCAAATGCAATTATTGGGACTTAGTAATCAAGAAAGTACAGGAAACTGCCCCCAAGCTGTGAAACAGTGACACAAAAGACTTGCAGACGAGAATCTGTCAAAAGTCAATGACGTCACTACAAGTTCAAACTCCTGTGAAAAAGTGGCTATAACCACGATGACGTAACATCCTGGGGCGTATCACATGCGCACTGCTTGATTGGGTTTATTTTCATCATTCATTCATTGTTTGTCAGTATAGGCCAGGCTGAGTTAAGATCATGATGCATGTTGCAAGATGCAAGACAGTCGACAGAGGAAGATAAGTCAACGTCAAGGCACAGGCTGGGGAAAACGACAGGCTGTCGAAGGAGAAACTTGCAAGTTATTGACAAGACGTTCGATCAATTTACATATTACCAGCA